TAAAGAGACAGGGTCTTGCTGTGTTGCCCAGGCTGGCCTCAAACTCCCAGGTTCAAGTGATCCTCCCACCTCAGCCTCCCAAGTAGCTGGGATTACACGTGGGCACTACCATCTCCAGCTGATATCTTTTTTCTTTAAATGTTTTCAGGAAGTGGGCTCATTACAGGATGCACACAAAACCTGGTGGATACTAGCACCAAAAGCACCTATCTACCAGCCCCACCTCCCTCCTTTTCCATTCAACTGAGATGGAGGAGACAGGATTTGGCAAAGTACATGCAAGCACTCTCCCTTCAGAGCGCGTGCTATTGATGGCTGCCAAGAGTAAGACTGGGTGGGGAGCCAGAAGGCAGTGGCGTCTTCCGGACGCTCACCAAGTCAGACTCTTCAACTAGAAGAGACTAGCTCATCCAGACAAACCTCCTACATTTTCTTTTTTAAAATTAAATTTTATTATTTCGCTCTAACAAAGTAACCTGCTACTTTTTCAAGGCTCAGAGGTGGTCAACAATTTGCCCAAAGTCACATGGCAGATAGTCGCGGAGTCCAAGGCACTCAGGGAGGGCTATGCCAGCCCAGAGCCCTTTGCTTGGCCTGCAGTACTGCCTTTGGCCATAAGAGGCACTCGTGGCTGGTCCTAGAGGAGGCAGGACATCCCCAAAGATGCTTATTGAAGCCAGCTGGACATGGCAGGCAGGAAGACTGGCACCCGTTCATGAAAATAAAATCTCCTGATAAGGTTTTCTTGCCAGAGCCTGGTTGAGCCTGAATCAACAAACATCACCCTGAACCTGAGCACCCCTTGCTGAGCTGGGAGGAAAGGAAGGGTGAGGGGAAACGCACTCCAGCGCTGTTTTTCAGCTTCATTAGTTCACAGAGTTTATGACCTGCTGCAGGGAACATTTCTGTGTATAATTCAAACACATTCTGTTTTCTCATTCCCTCGGTACCCTGCTGGGACAAGAATGGGCTGATGACAGCCAGCCCCTGGGTGGTGACTTCAGGGAAAGGCACCAGTAAACTGTGTGTGGCGGGAGCTCAGACCTCCAGGTCACAGGCACAGGCGAACAGGCAGCAGGGGTGAGTCCAGCCAGGCACTTACCCCAGGGTTGACACCTCTAACACGGCAGGGAGAAGGGGGGCCTCCAGAGGACAGGAATGGGGAGTAAAAGAACTTCTCTTGCAAAAGCAGCCCCATTTTCACAGCAGTCTTCAGGCTGCCTGACAAGCCTTCCTCTCCGTCAGTCAAATGTCTGGCTTCCCCCAGCCAGCACTAATCCTCCCCGCCAAGGAAACAGGGTGGGGAAAGGAAGGAGGAAGCCCCTAGATAGAGCGGGTCCTGCTGAGACTGCAGGGGGGGCCCTCAGACTTTAGGATCCAAGCCAAGGGCCCCCCTCCTGTTCTCCACACAGGCGCCAGGATGGGCGTGCCACTCAACCTTTAATCTGTCCCTATCCAGCCAGCCAACTCCTCAGTCTGGACCTCTGCACTGCCTCTCACCATCAGTGCGAGGTCCAGTGACCTTCGTGGGGGCAGCTGCACCACCAGCCTTGGCTGCCCTACAGGTGAGGGCTGGGTCACTTGGGAAGAGCAGGGCAGGAGGAACCTGGAGGAAGGTGAGCTCTTCAGAACTGTCTGGAGGCCAGAGAAAGATAAAGAAATGATGGAGGTATCCAGGCTGTACTAGAAGGTCCAGTGCGTTCAGCTGTAGGAGCAGCAACACACAGCCAGCTGCGCTGAGCCGGCCGGGACAAACCTGAGCAGGGTTCAGACCTGGCTTCCTGTACCCTGGTGCCCAAGGAAAAAAGTTGGGAGGGCCCGCTCCTGGATTCTGCTAGTTAGAAGAGGGTTCCTCTGGCCAGGCACAGTGGCTCATGCTTGTAATCCCAGCACTTTAGGAGGCCAAGGTGGGCAGATCACCTGAGGTCAGGAGTTTGAGACCAGCCTGACCAACATGAAGAAATCCCGTCTCTACTAAAAGACAAAATTAGCCAGGAGTGGTGGTGCATGCCTGTAATCCCAGCTACTTGGGGGGCTGAGGCAGGAGAATCACTTGAACTTGGGAGGCAGAGGTTGCGGTGAGCCGAGATGGTGCCACTGCACTCCAGCCTGGGCAACAAGAGCAAAACTCTGCCTCAAAAAAAAAAACACAAAGTTTCTCAGGGCATCTTCAGAGGCCATCCTCCAAGGTCCCAGTTCCTGGCAGAGTCCCAGCTTGCAGAGCCTGGACAGCCCGGGCTTCCTGGGCTGCTCTTCACGCAAGCCCCTGGTGAAGGAGCTGAAGGTCCCCCTCTTGGGCTGGGCTGAGACGGTGTTCACTCAGTGACCCCAGGACTCAGACACTGGTCACACAGGTGACCCCTGGGTCTTAGACGCTGGTTACATACATGATCACAGGGGACCGCTGCTTCCCAGGACCATCTTTGGCTTCCAAGAAAATATCCTGCTCCAAGGCATCTGCCACGACAGCCCGCTTGCCCTGCTCCTTCTTCTGCAGGGCATAGAAGCTGCCACCCATGAAGAGGGCAGCTGAGATAAGGAAGAAGCTGGACATGAAGAAAACATAGCTGAAGTTGTTGGTGGCGTCCAGGAGCAACCCTGGGGGACAGAGATCAAGTTAGGCCAGTGCTACCAGGCCTCCCCCCAACTAAACCCTGTGTTCCCTGACAGCAGGGATTTTATTTTTGTTTCTCCTGCACTAGGAATTGTGGCTGACACCCAGTAGACACTCAACAGATACTTGCTGAATGAGAGGAGGGGAAGAAACACGAAACCTCCTCTGGCCTGGGCAGGAAGAATCTTCAGGCTACAAGAGAACTTAAGGGCATGTGGTGGCAGGGAACTAGTGGAGTCTGGGATATTTGCTCAGCCACCTCCCAGGTCTCACCTCTGCCTCCTTCTGAAGAGCTCTCCCCACTTGTTTGCTTAAAGAATTCCCTTGGGGCCTGACATGGTGGCTCACGCCTGTTATCCCAGCACTTTGGGAGGCTGAGGTGGGTAGACCACGAGGTCAGGAGTTCAAGTCCAGCCTGGCCTAGATGGTGAAACCCTGTTCCTACTAAAATTACAGAAACTAGCCAGGCACGGTGGCAGGCGCCTGTAATCCCAGCTTCTTGGGAGGCTGAGGCAGAAAAATCGCTTGAACCCAGACAGCAGTGGTTGCAGTGAACCAAGACTGTGCCACTGCACTCCAACCAGGGCAACACAGTGAGACTCCCATTAAAAAAAAAAAATTCCCTTGGATGGGCACAGTGGATCACGCCTGTAATCCCAGCACGTTGGGAGACTAAGGCAGGTGGATCACGAGGTCAGGAGTTCGACACCAGCCTGGCCAACATAGTGAAACCCTGTCTCCACTAAAAATACAAAAACTAAGGCAGGGAGCGGTGGCTCACACCTGTAATCCCAGCACTCTGGGAAGGCCGAGGCTGGCAGATTACGAGGTCAGGAGTTTGAGACCAGCCTGGCCAATACAGCGAAACCCCATCTCTACTAAAAATACAAAAATTAATCGGGTGTGGTGGCGCGTGCCTGTAGTCCCAGGTACTCAGGAGGCTGAGGCAGGAGGATTGCTTGAACCCGGGAGGCGGAGGTTGCAGTGAGCTGAGATCGCTCCACTGCGCTCCAGCCTGGTGACAGAGTGAGACTCTGCCTCAAAAAAAAAAAAAAAAAAAAACCCTTGGAAACTGGGACTTCCAATGCCACACTTGGACGGAGTCCCCACTGGGCTGAACTCAACCTCCTGGATCTACTCTAATAACCGCCGCCTTGTGTTGTCTGACTGCTCCCTAGCACCAAGGGCTTTACAAACCTGCCCTCATTTGCTCGGAATCTCACGCTCTCAGCTGCCTCTCACATGCACCTCTACTTACCTATTCGGTTTCCCTCGCGTCATACATCACCACTATGGTGGTGGACGTGTCTCTTTGTTTTCACTCCTGACTCCTGCCCTAGAAGGTAATCCCCCAGAGGATGGGGACCTTTTTTTTTTTGAGTTGGAGTTTCACTCTGTCGCCCAGGCTGGAGTGCAGTGGTGTGATTTTGGCTTACTGTAACCTCCACCTCCCGGGTTTAAGCAATTCTCCTGCCTCAGCCTCCTAAGTAACTGGGATTATAGACGCACACCACACCCAGCTAATTTTTGTATTTTTAGTAGAGATGGGGTTTCGCCATGTTGGTCAGGCTGGGAATGGAGACCTGTTGATCCCCATGCACACCCAGAGGCTGGCAGAGTTGAATAAATGGTTAGGGCAGGTGTTCTCTTCTGCATTTTGCAGATGACACTGTGGCTCAAAAAAGGAAAAAGACTTGCCCGGGTCCCACAGGCAGGAAGCAGGAGAACCAGGATGATGATCATTACAGGAAACTCTGCAGGATGCTGACTGCACACCACACTCTCTCCTAAGCTTTCCTTGGAGGTAGATTCTATTTATCCCCACTTTACTGATAGGAAAAAGGAGGTGGCCAGGCAGAGTGGCTCAGGCCTGTAATCCCAGCACTTTGGGAGGCCGAGGGAGGCAGATCATTTGAGCCTAGGAGTTTGAGACCAGCCTGGGAAATATGGTGAAACCCCATCTCCATTAAAAAAAAAAAAAAAAAAATTGACTG